GAGAGAGAGAAAGTATTAGAGAAGGGATTAGATGATGATTGTTGGTGATCAAACTTGTTGATTACTGAAAATGGGGTGAAACGACCTCTATTTATAGGGAAAAAAGAGGGGCGAATGATCAGAAAAGAGTTAGAATTCGAATCGGAATAAAACAGGTTCCATCGCGGCGCGTCGGAACCGTCGCAGCATATCGTGACCCCGCGGCAGGGTCCATCGCGGCGCAATGGGACTATCGTTGCGCGATGGTTCTGCCGTTCTGCGACGGTTTTGAAAAGATAATAATACTTGCAGAGTTTGATTCCCAATCGGATTGGATCAACCAAATATCTGTATGTATTCTATTTTGACCGGGATTAGGATTATCAAAAAAAAGATGTTTTGTTCAAAATCAAATTCTTAAATCTTTATCTTTCGAAAACAGGATAAATTAGAACTTTTTAGAGGATTCTAGAAGCTCACAATAAATCCTAATGGATCTAGGATCGAAAACAACCTTCTAGATAAGCTCGTAATAAATCTTAATTGGTTTAGGAATGGGATTAAGGTTAATAGACCCTCCACATGGTCATTAGGTCGTAGGTAAGGCTTGGTTCGGGCTCGGTTTAGGATTTTGGCCATAACTTCTTCGTTATAAGTCAGATTTGGGCTTATAATATATCGTTGAAAAACTCTTTTCAAACCCCATCCAACTACACAATAGTTGGACCAGGATTATGGACCAAAATAGACTGGTTTGGACGTTTTTATAAAGAGGACACAAAATGAATGATTTTCAAAGACACAAAATGAATGATTTTGGGTTTAAAGGCACGAAATGAATGATTTTGGTTTAAAACATTTTAGGAAAGGTTATAAATGGTCAAGGCTAAAGGGAATTCACGAGACTCTTCAACTGTTCACCTAACTCGGTAATCAAAGACGTGAAAAGTACTCATGAAAGGTACTCATCACTGGGTTTGGTTTTTGGGGAGTCACAATCACGTGTCTACAGATATCTATTTACAAATAAAACTACAAAAAATACACTATTATCTAAATATAAGTCATATGATATCGTATGTATAAATATCCTACATTATCAAAATGAATTATTTGATCGTATTTAACATTCAAGTAAAATTGTTATCTTAAAATTTTATCAACCATCTGGGCATCGCCTGAGCACAAAACTAGTCACTTATTTCATTTTTAATCTTATTTTATTAATCCGACCTTTTGTTTATTCCACAATAATCCAAGCTTTGGGGGGTTTTCTATTCTATTAGGCCAAGCAGGTCACCTAACCTAAAACAGCAGGTCACCTGCCACGTGTCACGTATTCATTGTTCAAAATTATTTTTAATTTTTTTTGAAAAAACTTTTAAAATAAAAAATTCCCTTTCTTCTTCCTCTTCCCTTCTACCTCCATGAGAATGCAGCTCCATGATCGCCACCTCCAAAATATGACAACCGTAACCCCCAAAATCCGACCACCTCCATATCCAACCTCAATTACCCCACCCCTCTCAATCACCACCTACACCAGAAAACGCAGCCCACCGCCAACACCTGAAATCCCGACCCCACCGCCGCCTCTCTACTGGAAATCTCGACCCCATCGCCACCCCTCCACCTAGGGGTGTTCTGATCCGGGTACCCGAGGTTTCAGGTAGTTAAAAGTTTGTCCCATGACCCGACCCGATTAAATCGAGTACCCGGTTTAACCGGGTCGGGTCAACGGGTACCCGATAATTTGCCAACCTAAAATTTTTTCAACAGAATTTTGCAAATACAACTTTATTAATCAGTATAATTTCAACAAAATTACTTCCGAAAGCATCTGTCTATATGTCAACCTATAAAATTATAAACAACAATTACCAAAGCCATATAAATTCCCAGAAACGAAACCAAAAAATTTGGATTAGACGCTACAAAATAAAATTATTCAAATTTTTCTAATGATAAAGTGAATTAATAACAATATTGAAGGATTATACATCAGGAACAAGATTGACTTAGAACATAGATGAGGAAGAAACGAAACTCCGATCCTATTATAATTCACCTTTAAATCTTCAAAAGTTGTTTCCTGTAAATACGTAGGAGTATTTTTTTTTATGGCTGATGGATTCTCAATAGCCAACATTCCTTCGAACTCCTTTATTTTCCCTTCTTCAATCTCATTCTCTTTAAAATTATTTGTTCTGCAACATTATTTCTTTTAGATTCTTATACTGTAGTATAGATCAACCCAAGTGCACAAATTATCTAAGAATTAATCTTTGAATGATCTAATTGTGATAGGAAAAGAAATTTGAAAAACATCTCTGACTTTTGGAGAGGAGAGAGAAGAAAGAAAGAAAGAAGTTTTGTGCGCCTATAGGGAAGAGGGGAAAGGAGAGAGAATGAATACAATAAACCCTAACCCATTCAAATTGCACAACGCACATTAATTATCTAAATAAGGAAAAAAATCCTCTAAATACTCGCTAATTTTTCTCGGGTCAACGAATTTTCAGGTCGGGTCAAGCGAGTCGGGTACTTTTGAACACCCTTACCTCCACCCCACCGTCACCCCTCTACCTGAAAACCCCACCGTCACCCCTCTACCTGAAAACCCCACCCCACCATACTTCCTCCACCTTTAAAGCCCAAACCTAGAAACCCCAAAACCCCTTCTTCTTCCCAAACCCCACCCTCGAAACTGAATTCAAAGTATTTTATTTCAATTTCTGAACTAAAGGATCCAATTTAAAGTTTCTGGATTTCTAAAGCTTTGATTTTATGAGGTGGGTTTCGGGGGGTGGTTGCGAGGAAGGAGGGGTGGCAAGAGGGTGGTTGAAAATCAAAAAAGGGAGGGGGAGGGGCAGCAGGTCCGGAGGTTGATCATGTGTGGCCATGGAATGGAGGGAAGGGGAGGGTGGCCATGGAAGGGGGTAAGCTCGTGGGTGGCTGCTTGGCTGATTTTTTTTTTAAACTTTTTTTGATAAATAAATTGAAAATAATAATAATAAAAAATTTACCTAAAGCACAGGTAGCAAGTCACTTTGACCTAATAGAATAGAACATCCCAAAGCTTGGATTATTCTTGGGGAATAATCAAAAGGTCCGATTAATAAATAAGATTACGCAAAAGTTTGATTATTGGAATCAAATTTTCCTTAAAAAAATATTGTATAATTGTTAATCAAGATTATCTGAAAAAATATGATACCTAATTTTTTTTTTATAAGAGATTTTTTTAATAGTTATATTTTATTAAGAGTAATTGGTGGGTTAATTTAAATTATTTAAATAAACAAACATAAGGTGAATAAATAGAGGTAGCTCTATGTCCACATATAAATATTTAATAATAAATTATTGATTTATTTACGAAAATGACACGAGATAAACATTTTCATGAAAATTAAACTTGTATTTTCTCTAAACTAGAGCGTACTTATGCTAACGCACATGATATGTCATTCGTGGAAGAAAACAACACAAAGTGAAATGTTGGTAGTTATTGAAAATCCTTTAAAAAAATAAAAGGAAATTAGTGGGCGAATTAGTTATTGGTAATTTTTTATTAAAAAAAAAGGTAAAATACATAGGATTTGAGTTATTGAGGTTTTGGAGGATGTGGTGAAGTGTGGTTAAAAAAAAAAAAATTGTTAAATTATAGGAAAATTTGTTAAAATAAACCTTTTAAATGCACCATTTTGCGAAAAAATATCCTTCTAAAACCTTTATCGTAAAAGAAAACTTAAACAGGCCTATTTATTGTTAAAGACAACCTAATGCTAGTACCTCTAATTTACTTAAATAACACTAATCACTTTTAATTACCCTCTAACTCTCACTTACCTGATTAATAATTAAATAAAATTTTAAATAAATATAAAAAACATAAACCACCACCCCACCACAACCAGTCACCTGGCCTACCCCTCCCTTTTCTCCTCCCCTAGCAACAGCCCCCACCATCGACTAAGACACCAGAATTGTTGTTCCCCATCCAGGCCAACCATAAAAATCAACCTAGCCACACCTTACCGCTTGCTAGCCTACTCCCGTCGTCAACCCCCACCATGAAAACCGCCGTACTCCCACCGCAAGTCCACCACGAAAACACCCACTTGACCCCAAATTCTTGAAATACCACCCATCCCCGCCCACAAACACCCACCTCGACCTAGAAACGAGCTCATTGGTCACAGCGATTCGAAGCTTATATAAGGTTCGTTCGAGGTAAATTTACGGGGCGAACATTGTTGGATATTTGGTGAATTGCAGCGAAGTAGTCATCGTTTTTGGTGGAGGAAAGGGGTTTTCCGCCATTAGATCGAGGAGGTTGGGTTTCCGCCATTGGAGGAGAAGGTGGAGAGGAGAGAGAAAAGGGAATTGAGATGGAGGAGAGAGAAAGGGGAAAGGGAAGGGGGTCAACTCTGCGGTGGAGGTGGGCCGCTGGGGGTGGGGGATCCAGGCGGTAGCTCAGTTGGGGTAGGAGGGCTGTTGTCAGGGGAGGGGGTGGCTGACCGATGGTAGGGTGGTGGTTTTTGTTTTTAATTTATAAATTAATTTTATTATTAAATGGTTAAGTGAGAGAGGGTAATTAGAAAAAATTATAGGTTAATAAGTGAATTAGAGGCACTAGGTTGTTTTCAACAAAAAAATTTCACAATTGGGTTTTCTTTAGCCAGAATGCTAAAAATTGGTTTTTGTTAAAGATTTTATCGATAGAAAGTTTTTTAATCAGTGAAAGAAGAAGTAAGAAGAAGTGAAATTGTAGCAGTGCTCCGGTTATATTTTTGCTTGTGTAACTTACACTTACATGGCATTGTATATATAGCCATGGGTTATACTAAGAGTATAATAATTACTCACACATATAGTCATATGAGTTCACAAGTGTTTGGACCTATATGAGCATTGTATAATCAAATCAATAATTGGCATTCACCTTATTAAACTTATCTTCTAACAGTTTTTTATTTTTTATTTTTTTTAATTTTTTCTGCAAAAAACTTTTTAAAGATTATTTTTGCAAAATAATGCATTTAAAGGATTTTTTTTGGGACAAATTTTCCTAAAGGATAGAGCTTGGTTTAAAGTTTCAATCGGACTTGATTTTTCACTTTCCCAACAAAATCAATCTGAAAAAAAAGGGCGACGTTCAATTTCATCTTGTATATGCCAGCTTCGTTCTCCTAAGAGGAGAGAGAAACCAACCTGATAACAGAGAACATCCATGTCTTCTTCTTCATCAACATCTTCTTCCTCTGCACTTCTCCATTAACCCTACTTCACTACTTCTTCATCGATCTCAATTTCATCCTTTTATTTCCATAATTCTCCAATTTCGTAATTCAATCAGCTAATTTCAATCTTCATCATCAATTATCAATCATACCTTCTCCAATTCCTCTTCAAATGGCTCCTCTTCCTTCGGAAAATGGCGTCGATGGCGATGTTGAAAGAGAGGAAGAAGAAGAAGATGAAGAAGAAGAATTTTCAGAAGAAGAAGAGGCAACAGCTTCTGAAGAAGAAGAACCGAAGCTCAAGTACCAGAGAATGGGGGGCAGTTTATCTTCTTTGTTATCGACCGATGCCGCTACTTGTATCGCTGTTTCTGAACGTATGATCGCGCTTGGTACTCATTGTGGTGCCGTTCATCTGCTTGATTTTCTCGGAAATCAGGTATTTCCTATGATCTCAATTCAATTATTCTTGATTTTCTTCCAATTCTCCTTTTTATATTTGTGCTTTAATCTGGTTTAAGGGATAGCGTGGAATTTTTTTATTTTATTTTAATCGGTTTTGGAATTGGATAATGAGTTGAATTTATCATTTATTTTTATTTCTCGTGTCGAATTTAGCATTTTCGTGTCGGATTAAGCATGCTTCTAATTATTCTCAAATTAGGTTGTTTGCTCATTGAGTTAAATTGACTAACTTGTTCTATTATTGTCATAGCATAGTTAACTTGTGAATTACTAGAATGACCTAGAAATTTAGGACGATTGGTGCAAGATTGATTTTTACAGATATGGTATTTGAGAACGATGCATATTGAATTGTACAGTGTTTTAATCAATATATTGCTAAATTTCGGACGGGTGGTCTTGGGTGTTTTTTTTTCATCTGAATTGTGTTGCAGTTCATCTGCTTCAAGAAGAGAAAAAAAGAAGAGAAAAAAAGAATAGAGAAATAGGTACCGAAAAGGTCATGTCGGTGTAGCTATTCAAATTATCCTCCTCCTAGAAGTCTAGAGCAGGGGGTAATACAATTAATTAATGAGCGTGTAGTTTTCCCTCTCCCGAAGTATTTCCTGCATTTGCTTGAATTTGCTTAATGGTGTGTTCTTTTTCTAATATAGAAGATTCATGTCTAACTTTACATATAGAAACTTACTATATGTCCATGGCATTGAGTTTTCTTTTTATTGCATCTAACATAGATGCGTTATGCTGTAATCATCTTGGATTGACATGATGAGAATTTGGTGACCTAGGTACTCCTCTCCCCCTCCCTCTCATCCTCAAACAAAACAAACTCTCTTATATATTTTTTTTTTGAAGACACAAACTCTCTTATATCGTGAAAGCCACTTGTATCACTTGTATACATATCTAAGTTTGGAGTTTCAGGTCAATTAACTTTTTTCCTAGGAAATTTTTGTATGATGGTAATCTCTACCCTATCATATTTAACACTAACACTTGGACCCATGTCACCATAGTAATCTTGTAAGGATATTGCCCGAAGCGGAGTATCCAAAGTGCCATGATCACAATTATCGTAAATGGACTTTTTGAACTTCACAATATAAGGATGGCGACAGTTTAATGTGTAATTTTGATTAAGTCAATAGTATTTGAGAACCAAAGATGGTGAATTATTCAGCTCCATCGTAAATGGACTTTATGAAGTTCATAATCTGACCATAAGTAATCATAACTGTAGATCTGTCTCCCTTTTATTTTCTTTGCCCCTTTTACACATGCTGCCATGCTGGGTGATGGTGAGAGATGTTTTTGTACTCAACAGGCTCTCTGTTTAAATAGTATCTATCTTGCTTGAGCTAGAAAATCCAGATTACAAATTATCTGAAGCGTTTTCAATTTTAAAGGACTTGGTTGGCTTTTACAGGTAAAGGAATTTCATGTGCACAAGGCTGCTGTAAATGACCTTAATTTTGATATAGATGGCGAATATATTGGGAGTTGTTCTGATGATGGATCAATTGTTATAAGCAGTCTCTTTACTGACGAAAAACGAAAATTTGAGTATCATAGACCAATGAAGGCAATAGCTCTCGATCCTGATTATGCAAGAAAATCATTAAAAAGATTTGTGGCTGGAGGATTAGCTGGTCAATTAATATTCTACGCTAAGAAGTGGTTTGGTTATCAGGAGCAGGTTTGGAATTGTTTTTTGGCTTATGATAGTTACAGTTAATGAATTGATGCATTTTTGATTTGTTTTATGCTTACTCTGATTTTAGGTATTGCACTCTGGCGAGGGTCCAATACATGCAGTGGCATGGAGGACGAGTTTCATTGCTTGGGCTAATGATGCAGGCGTGAAGGTTTATGACACTGCCAATGATCAGCGCGTGACTTTTATTGAGAGACCGCGAGGAAGTCCACATCCTGAGCTCTTGCTCCCGCACCTAGTTTGGCAGGTTGTCATCGAACCATTATTACTTTCCGTACTTAGCATGATAAATATACTTGCTAGTTTCAATCTAGGCCTGTTTATTTGTGTCCCAACTTTTGACTTCATGCTTTTTCTTACTTAATTTAGCTGAATTCAGGATGATGCACTTCTGATTATTGGTTGGGGCACATCAGTGAAGATTGCTTCTCTAAGGGGAAATCAGCATGTAGGAGCCAATGGGTCCTACAAGCCTGTTTATGTATCAAGCTCAAACCAGGTGGATATAGTTGCATCTTTCCAGACAAACTATTATATATCCGGCATTGCTCCATTTGGTGATTTTTTGGCTATTCTAGCCTATGTCCCTGGAGAGAAGGACTTTAGTAGTACAGCTCCATCACGGCAGGTATTTCTTCTTGATGGATCTGGATATTTGAGTACTTTTAAGTGTCTGATGTTGATATTTTTTTGGTTGCTTAATGGCTGTCATTTAAAACTGCTGGTACTTGTTTTAAGAACTTGGGCTTCTAGAGGTTGTATAAAGATCTCTTTACTGTATTAGATCTTGATCGGGATTGGGTTGTGGAGTATTTTAGGTGTGAAGTCACGAGGTAGCACACATAAGTACTGATAATGTTGATGAAGGGAGGATTTTTGTAACTTTCACTGTGAATAATTGTGATCAGATTGATTGTGCTTTGTGCAGCAGATCTATTTAACAGTTGTATTTACATCAAGGTTTCACACAACACAGAAATGTAAATCGTGTATTAAGCTAAACTTCCTGAATAAACACTGTCTTGGTAATTTTTTAGCAATTGTCCTAGTGGTTTATGAAAGTAAGAACAGAAGATATAATTAACCTGTACATTAATATTGTCTGGAAAGACACACTCATTCTCATCAATGGAGTGTATGGTACGCTTAAAAAAGGTGCTTGAAATTGTTGTAGTAGCTATTAACTTATTGTTGTTATGCTAATACAAAGTAGCTAATAAATGGAAATTCAGTTACTTTAATGAATAAAATTGTATTGTCTAGTTACTGCTGAACAGATATGTTTTGTCAAAATAACATGGACATATTTCTCATCCATGGAATAATTCTCTTTTTCTGTATGCTTATGAAGTTGACAGTCTCGTAAGTTTAGCATTGGGTTTGTAGTGCTTTACTGTCTTTTTATTTTTCTGCTAATCAGTCTTGGATCATGGCCAGTGATATGCTTGATGTTTTTGGCTCTCTAATCAGGCTAATGCACAGAGGCCAGAAGTACGCATTGTTACGTGGACTAATGATGAGCTGGCAACTGACGCTTTACCAATTCATGGTTTTGAACATTATAAAGCAAAAGACTACTGTCTCTCACACACTCCTCTATCAGGTTTAGTTTATTAAGTCTTTTATCATCCACAATTATTCTTCTTTCTATTTTCTTGTCCTTTTTTTTTGGGTAAGGGAAGAAGGGAGTTATTGGTGGAGGCTCCCTGTTAGGGACTTAAGTAGCTGGGAGGGGACTGTTCATGCCTTTTATTTGACTTGAGTATGCATGCCCTTACATTTTTTTATTGGACTTCTAAGACTTATTATTACAGGGAGCAACTATACTAACGGTCGATGGGCTGCAGGTGATGAGCCACTATACTATGTTGTATCCCCAAAAGACATAGTAATTGCAAAACCAAGGTTAGTTTATTATACCACCTCCTTCCCCGGTTACATGCTTCACATCTTCTCTTTTATCTCTTGTTTTTTTTGTATCTGATGTTAGATTGATGTAAGTGGTTTTTTTTTTTTTTTTTTTTTTTTTTTTTCCTTTCTCCTTTCTCTTTGCTTCTTCCCCTTTATGGCGATCAACTTGTATTTAATTGAATGAAAATGGTAAAAAATGAAGAAAGCTAGAAGATGCAAATAATTGGGTGTAATGGGTTTTCTAACTAGCTGCTAAGATGGTAGCATATGAAGACAATACTTCTTAGTTAGTGTTTGGCAAAGCTCTCGGAACTGTTGGAAGACTGTTTTTGGAGCTTTGAGGAAACTGATTATCTTTTCTTTCCTTTTGAGGATAGTCTGTTTCCTTATATGCTACCAGAAACAGATTTCCAATTACGTTTCTGGCATATGAAGAAACTGATTCTACCCAACGGTATTGTCTAGCTAAGGGGTGACTTTGTATTTCCTGATTTGTTCAATTGCTTTTGCGCTCTTTGTTTCTATAGACTAATATGACATGGAAAATTGGGAAAAAGAACTCCTATTTCCTAAATCTTTTCTGCTTTACCTCAATTTGCTTAAAAGTTGTCTTATTTACTCGTGGATACATAAAAGAACATCCGTGAGAACAAGTGGGCTATATGAGCCTTTGAAGTGCATGGAATGATTGGTCACAAGCTATCTGAGTGGAGAAGAGAATTGGTAGGGTTCGGCTTGGTTTGATTAAAAGTCTGGAGTTTGAGATTGGTTTAATCCACTATGTCCTTGGCTTGGCTATATATGAATGAGTTTGAGCAGTAATTTGAGCTCAATTCCCTTATTTGGGCCTATTTAGTAATTTGGGCAAGATATTTTCTTTTTATGTCATACCTTGATGAAAAAGAGGAGAGACAGAGGGATCAAGGGATTGATGAAAAAGAAGAGAGAGAAAGTGGGGCATGGATGCTCTCAGGGAAGAGTACATAGATAGAGAGGGCAGGTGGCTGTCTAAAGTGGACAGTAGGGGATTGTTTGATGATGGTGGCCGTGGGGGCTTGAGGGGACAATGGTGTTAATGGGGAAGAGGGGCTGATTGGGCAGCAGTGAGGAGGGTGAATTGGTGAAGGGAGAGAAGGTCAAAGAAGGGGCGGTGGTGGATCTATAATCAATGAATTCTAGTGAGGTGCCTTTGTGCTGGAGATGGTGGTGGGCTATAGTGATGAAGGAAGGTGGCAAAAATGGAGGGTTGTAATGGTCAAAGCCCAAAGGGGTTATAAAGGGGATTTAAGTGAAAATAAGCTGAAAGAATAATTTTTTCTGTGATTTTTTATTTTTTAATTTTTTTATTGGACAGATTCGGAAAGTCATCCCAAACGTTGGGGCTGTTCCTAATTAATTGAAAGTTGGGATTATTTATAAAAGGCTGACAAATTGACAATAGTTGGGATTATTATATACAAATTTTTAATTGTTTTTTCTTATTAAATAAGCCACTTCCAAGCTCAAGCTTGGTATGTTTATACATGAGTTTGGCTTGGCCCACTGCATAACATGTAAGTCCGTATGTATGATCTGCAAGTGGGTTTTAAAATTTGAATAATTACTCTAAGCTAATCCAAACTATAAGTAAAAGTAGAAAATTTGCACAAGTTTGTACTCAGGGTTCATACTTTGCTAGTTTTTTGGATCAATAAATAGTCTAAGGATGATCTGTCCTCAAATGAAGTAGGAAGTTGATTAGCTGATTCTTTCTAAAGGAGGGCAGTACTCGGAATGGCGTATCAAATTTTTGAATTGCTCTGGGCATTGACATTTACAAACTAGGAAAATGTGGAGGGCTCTTCAGTGAGGAATTTGCAGTAGATTTTCCCGGGGTTACAAATGTCATATATGCTATGGATGCTCTAGTGGATGGCCTTTATTGTAAAATTATGTCTGCTTTGTTCAATATCTCCTTTGAAGAAGATTGTAAAATGATGGCCTTATTGCTTGGTGCATTTCAATAGTTGCTATATGCATCGTATTTAAATTAGGAAAGATCAAGAAATAATTTGAACTAGTTTAGACTTTTATGTCAATGTAATTTAAGCTACTTGTTGAATCATGTCAGACAAAATTTTGGTATAGAATAGAATTTCGAGACATTAATGATCTTTGGGCTATGTGCTCTCTTATTGCACTTTGGGCTATGTGCTCTCCTGATTGCTTGATACTTTATCTGACAGTAGTAGGTTGACAGGATTCAGTAATAGCCTATCGAGATTAGTGTGCATCCTGTTTCTGCTTTGTGCTGTTGAAAAGTGAAACCGGGGAACCCAGTTAAGAGGACCCTACAAAAACGTCTTCTACCTCTCTATACTGCCTTATGGTTTTTTTTTCTTTCTTCTTTTTTACCAGTCATTGCTCTATCATCCCATAACTGAATTAAATTAGTATTTAGCTGATATGATTTTATGGCTATTTACAAGGGATGCTGAAGATCATATCAATTGGCTTCTTGAACATGGATGGTATGACAAAGCTCTCGCTGAAGTTGAGGCAACACATGGACGAAAAGAACTTTTCGAAGAGGTTGGTGTTCCCCTTCGCAGATTATATAGTATTATGTGATTTTCTGGAGTGGTATCCACCTATCTAGCATATTTAGCCCCATTGCGGTTTAATTGGCCTATTTGCAAGGAAAGTCTCCTAAAGCAAAGGAGTCTTGTATTTGATGGCTTCAGAGTTCTACCCCCCCCCCCCCACATCCATCGTAAACATATACCTAGGAGACCATGTTACCAGTTTTGTCTTCGAAATTTGAACTGCATTGTCTATGAATTTTTTTATTTCCCCTTCTTTTTCTTCAGATAATTCTTGTGTTCCCTTTTTCCTCCCTGTATCTCATGCTCTCCACAGAGACTATAGTCTCCACACTGCCTTTATCTCTCTTTACACTTTTCTTCTTTCCCTAGCAAATGCTATTAACTTGGATGTGTTATATTTTCTGTCTATAAGATGTTTTACCTTGTAAGTCCTACAATTATACCATTGGTGGCTTGCTGCTGAACCTGTGCTTGTCAAATAAAAGAAATCATGTTTAATGTTGAGGATAAAATTTACCTTGGAAGGAGGAATGCCACTATGCGAGGCTATGTTGAGGCAAGTAGGTACATTATTGAAGCGTCTATCCTCCAATTGGCTGCAATAAAGGCCATCTCACACTAGGAATGTTTGCATCTTTAAGCCGAGGGAAAGATGATTCCTTTTGCCATTATTCTCAATATTAAGCCAGCATTTGTCTGTATTTTCTATAGTCTCAAGTGTTACCATGTCATGACAAAAGCTGAAGCTTTCCATAGGGCTGTTCAAGTTGTGCCCTATATATTGGAATAATTCTTGTTACTTGCCATTTCACTAACCTTGAATATTTTTGGGGCTTTTGTTGTTTCCTTCACAAGCTGCTCTCCTTGTCATTACGTTCTTGTGAAACCACTGAATTGCAGTGGTGTAATCTCAGAGTTGGTGATGAAATCTTATTGGGAAAACTTTCTGTTATTTCGACTTTCTGCTTCTGGTGTATTCTTTTATCTTAGTAGCTTTTGTAAGATTCTGAGACTAGAGCCCTGGAAGCCCTTTCTGTCTGTTTCTTGCAAGCATTGGACTGTCTGTTCAATCCAAAAACAGTTCTGTCTTATATTTAGCATGTATTCATTGATTATCAGAAATTCCCATGTTTCAAGGTTGACTTTTTTTAACATCTAGTTTCACTGTTTAGCTCTTGTGAGTTCCTTATATTAAATTCTTCATGTTAATGTAAACAGGTGGGATCAAGGTATCTTGAGCATTTACTTGCTGAGAAAAGATATGGTGAAGCTGCAGCTTTATGTCCCAAATTGCTGCAAGGGTCTGCTTCAGCATGGGAAAGGTAACTATGGTTTCACTATATTACATTGTGTTACTTTTTTCCCCTTGGTATTGAGGGATGGTTTCTCTTCATAGATGGATTATTCGCTTTGCTCAGCTTCGTCAGCTTCCAGCTTTAGCCCGTTACATGCCAACTCAGAACCCTAAACTCAGTGATACTTTATATGAGGTTTGTTGTGCCACAAAATTTGCTGCAATGTTGATATGATTTCCATGTACTAGAGATTTTACCTTTGTTATGATCCAGCTTGCCCTAGTGGCTCTTGCAATGAATCCTGCGTACCACAAGGATTTCTTATCAGCTGTGAAGTCATGGCCACGGTCAATTTACTCTGCCCTGACTGTTTTGTCAGAGATAGAGCCTCAGCTTAGAGCTTCTTTGATGACTGACGATCTGAAAGAGGTCATTCTCTTTGTTCTTGCTCTCTGTTTTCGAATATTATGCTATTCACATATGGTGTGTTTCATTCTTATTGTTACTAATCAACAATGCCAAATATCCAGGCAATGGCAGAGCTATATGTGAGAACTGAGCAAAATGAGAAAGCGTTTTCATTTTTTGCTGATGTAAGTGTGTAGATCTATATTTTTTTTTGCAAGCCTATTTGCAGATATGCTGAACATGCAACATTGTGCTGTAATGATGCTCATTGCGCCTCTTTTTGCAGCTTTTGAAACCAGAAGTTTTCGACTTCATTGAGAGGCATAACTTGCATGCTGCTGTTCGTGAAAAGGTACAGTGATGTAATCATGAGCTTTGGTATTGACTTTGAGTCCCACTGCGTATTTTGTTTGGTTATGATTGTCTTTTGGCATAGGAAGGCATTACTATTTTTGTAATTCCACCATACATGTGCTGTAGACATTTTCACTGATGCACAATTTTCATATGACTTGGTAGTCATAGATCTCTGGATATTTGCATATTGCTACTTAAAGCTTTCTTTTGTTAATCACAGGTTGTCCAACTGATGATGCTTGACACCAAACGTGCAACATCCTTGCTGATCCAGCAAAGGGATCTGATTACCCCACCTGATGTAGTGTCACAGCTTTTAAAGGCTGGAGATAAGTACTTTTTGTATCTGTACTTGCATGCTCTATTTGAGGCCAGTCCTCATGCTGGAAGGGATTTTCATGATATGCAGGTATTGTAGAGATCATGGACATGATTTCAAAATCTGAATTCCTTAGCTAGCTTAGTTCATAATTTTTCTCAAGGATGCTTAAGCCTTAGAAGCTTTCTGTTGGAATCCAACTCTCCATTTCATGTTTTAATGCATTCTTAGACATTTTTTAAACTTTTTTTAGGCTTCAGATAGAATTATTATATTATTGCCAATCCAGTGTTCATTAGGCAAATATTGTAATTTCTAAATAAAGCTCTTAGGGAGTAATTATTAGGGAATGAGAAGCAAAGCTTCCTATCCTGTGTTGCCTTGCTTTAGTGCTTGTGCTATTTTATTGGCCCTGCTTGTGCCTGCTGTGCGCTCTCAAGCTCCCCAATCAACGCTCATCTTTGCTCTTATTGTTGATAAGTAAGAATGTGCCTTCTATAATCAGGCGCCACATAAACCCCTTTCCTCACACGGGTGGCACCTTTGCTGACTGATAGGAAAGAGTGCGCCGCACGATATGGTGTCAAAACACTCGGATTGTGTTTATAATAAATCTGGCGATTATGCTATTAAGTTTGGTTCACCTTTTTTTCTTTCTCCCCTTTTTCTTGGGATTTGGGGAATGAATTTATGGTAGCAGAATCTACATCAGGAAACTTTAGACCCCGACCTTGCTCAGCCTCTTCACCAGGAGTTCACTTATGAATCATGATTGTCAGACTGTTGCTCTACAGTCCTTTAGCCAGATTTAGTTGTCTTGCTAAGTAGATTTTGCTTTCTGCATTTCAGGATGTTTAGTCACTATACAATTTCAAATTTCTAGTTGACTCATGCATCGTGTTCTTCTGGTAGAGCATTAGAGCATATTTCTCTGTATTGTAGTTTGGACTTGTTGAGCGTCTGTCATTATATATTTATTTATTTTGTAATTTTTTGCTAATAGGTGGAGCTATATGCAGATTATGATACACAAATGCTACTTACTTTCCTTCGTAGCAGTCAACATTATACACTGGAGAAGGTATGCAGATTCAATTAAGCAGTTAATTCAAATTTTTAGAGCATCAGAGTTGGTATTAAAGTATTTAGTTCTTGTTGAATACAGGCCTATGATCTTTGTGTGAGAAAAGGTCTCCTGAAAGAGAAAGCATTCATTCTTGGAAGAATGGGAAATTCGAAACAAGCCCTTGCTGTTATCATCAATGAATTAGGTGATATAAAAGAGGTAATTATCTTTCATCAGATATTGCATTCTGCTACTTATGTATTGACAAATTAATATATGTATGTGTGCGGGTGTCAGGGTGTGTGTCCGGGTTGTATTCATGTGGGGCTTGCTTCTTATTGTTTGCAGGCTTTAGAGTTTGCTAGCATGCAGAATGATGATGACATTTGGGAAGAATTGATCAAGCAATCTACCCAGAGGCCTGAAATGGTATAAAAATTGTTGTATTCCTTCCCCCAAACCATTTATGCGGGAAACTATCATCGTCTCTGTTTTTCACATGCCTGCCTTTTCCTGTTTGCAGGTTGGAATGTTGCTGGAACATACTGTTGGCAACCTTGATCCTCTTCATATTGTAAATGTTGTGCCTGATGGACTGGAAATACCTAGGTTAGTACTGTTATGTCCTTGTAGTACTTGTACATGTAGATTTACATTCGATATAAAGGCCCTTTCTGAGATGGTTTTCGGACTGCATTTCGTGTCAATCATTGTATGTCTTTAGTAAGCTCTATGTCTTTTCCTCTCTGAATGTTGGAATGTCATCCATTCATTTTTAGTCTCTTCCACTTCAGCATCGTATGCAACTTCCCATTTCCCATCATTAAATATCTTAAAATTCAAAACTTGCCTTCTTGAATTTTCTCCCGCTTCTCATCCTCAGGCCACCTTTCTGTGATTTCTAAATAACCCGAGTGTTGGATAGGCAAAACATTTAACATTTTCTCCACTCTTCCATGCTCCATAACTTCCAAGGCCATCTTTGAAAATCTGCACTTAACTGATCTTGCAGTATCACCACAAACTTTGTACTTAAGGCATCTGTAACCACATTCGGCTTTCCTTCGTGATACTGAATTTCAGATAGCCAAATCTTTAAGACACATTATAGCAGTCAATATTATTATTGTTATTCTAAAAAGTACTTCGGTTTTTGCTAATCTTTATTGTTGTTACTAATCCTTCATAGTATGTTTACAGGCTCAGGGATCGATTGGTCAAAATCATAACTGACTATAGAACCGAAACCTCACTCAGACATGGTTGTAATGATATTTTAAAGGTAATTCTTCAATTTAGTAGCATTGCTGTTTGAATCATCTTCACTTTGCACTGAAATTATTGGTTGTTTTGGTGGGAACAACAGGCTGATATCGTCAATCTTTTGGTTAAGTACTACAAAGAAGCAAGGCATGCGGTTTATATGAATAACACAGAGGATGAGGCTAGAACTAAGAGAGATGAAAAGAGGATGGAAGAGTCCTTTGCAAAACCACCAAGTTTCAAAAACATGGATTTGAAGTCCAAGACTAGGGTGGGAGGCAGATGTTGCATATGCTTTGATCCTTTTTCCATCCAAAATGTCTCGGTTGTCATTTTCTTTTGCTGTCATGCATATCACATGACTTGTTATATGGACTCAGTCAATACATATAGTGATGAGAATGAAGCTCAGGATGGTTCCCTTGATTCTGAGTATGATGAATTTGATGACGAAGAGAATGGTGAAAGTCAGTCAGACTCCTCTCGAATGCGGTGTATATTATGTACTAATGCAGCTAGATGACTAAAATGGTTTGATGAGGTGGTTTGTTGTATAACTTGTATCTTTTGGTATCTGTTTTTATCTCGTTTCTTTTTGTTTTTGTTTTTCTTTTGTTTATAACAGCAAGTTTCGAGATTGAGACTTGAGAGTGTGGGAGGCTGCTTTGCTTGTGCAACGAGAGCAAGGTTTTTTGGGGTCATTGGAATTCCTGAGTCTATTTGTTTGTCAATTGATATATTATCGATGATGGTCATTCATTGTAATAAACTTGTTTTGATCATACTTAATCATATGTTCATATTTTGGATCTGCAATGGCGTTTTAACATTTTTTGTACAAAGAAAGTCTTGTTCACATTATCCTTAATTATGTTTTGATAAAGATTAAAAAACACTGCTTGTTTCAAAAAAAAAAAAAAAAAAACACTACTAAATGAATTTACTACTAGCTGTATTAGTAAATGGAGCAAGTATTTAAAAGCGGTGGGAGTATATGTTTAATGTGAAAATAGGATAGTACATTCGGATGCACCATGCGCAGGGTGCACCAGGGTAAACAAAAAAAGGCGGAAAGAACATACATGTGTTTGATAAAGAACATACCCGTGTTTGACAAAGAACATACCTTTAATATGTTCTTTGAGTGTGATTAGTGTGCTCTTTGGGTATAACTATATTTTCTTTACATTATAACTTATGTTATTTAACATATGTTGATTAAACATATATGTTTTTGGGGTTTCAATAATCAAAGTATGTTCTTTGAATTTGGCTCGTATGATCTTTGAGGTAGTGACGCACAAATTATTATCATATGTCATATTTAAATTACTTTTATTATCCTATGTTCTTTGAGTTTGATTAGTGTGTTCTTTGGGTATGAATTATATGTTCTTTACATTATGAATTATGTTCATTAAACATATATTATTTTGAATTTTGAATTTTGAAATTTGAGAATGAAATCTTGAATTACTTTTTAGTTGAAAATAATAGTAGAGAGAAAACTAAAATTATTATGGGAAGTTGAATTTTTAGAGAGAGAGAAACCTACTTTTGGGGGGAAATGATATATTTGGTAAATATTTTATCCATTAATGTGTAATTTTTCAGGAAATTTTAATAAAGGTTTTATCACGTTCTTTTTGTAATATCTTTATGTTCTTTGGTAATGCATGTTTTTGTCACATATAAACATGTTTTTTGTGAAACACAAGATGTTCTTTCCGCCTTTTATTTATTTAACCGGGTGCACCATACGTATGGTGCACCCGGGTGTACAAATCAGGCACTCGTTTAATGTATCAAGGTTTTATTTTATTGTTTTTTTGTTTTGTTTTGTTTTGTTTTTTTGTTTTTTTTTTCTTTTTTTTGTTTGTTTTTTTTAATAGCAAATGTATTAAGTTTTCAAAGGTAACATACTGTTGTAACGCAAACGTTTTACACAAATTCTTATGTGGTTGGCTACACTGTGTGGTCAGCCATAAAAGGGATTACTTCGTTAGTGTTATAGGAGTTACTCAGTTAGTGTTACAGGGGTTACTTTGTTTGGTTACTCGGTCAGAGTTACTATAGGCGTCATTCGAATCGCACCTACTTAAGCATGTTATGAATATGCTTGACAATCATAGGAAGCGGGATTGACGTTATACCATAAGAAACAATAAAAGTAGGGAGCTGCCAACAAGTTTTTTTAAGAAACTTGTAAACCGTTCATGGATCATTTAAGGCAATCACGATAAGGGACAATGAAATGCAACAACGATTGACCCGTGAAGGTTACACCCCATTCATAATCCATGAGATTACTAACTCCATATGGCCAGGAACCACGAATGGAGGGTCGGGGATGATGGTACGAAGTGAGTCATGGAAGTCAACTTCGCTCGTATTGGCCTCTATGTGATTATTATAGTGAAAAGTATTTCCTGCGATCTCAAAGGCATACAAACAAAGATTCAATTTGTTCCAAATTAAATTAGGCTAAATTGGTTAAATATTAATGCACACATAATTCTAAATATTAGTGACCACTTTGATTAACAACAAGATTGAAAAGGAGCCTAAACTGGTTGTCCAAATTATCTTATTAAGTGTGATTTGCAATCACATATTCCCTTTAAACAAGCAATGTGGTGATCAAAACAATATAGAATCAGCAATAATATTGGAAGCAATTGTACCATACTAATGTAACAATTAAAATATGAGCAACATAATAAAAATCATTAGAAATATAATAAGAACAAAAGGAGCGTGATTCTTACTTTGATTGCGTTTGCTTGCAACTATAAAACAATAAACACGTCAGTAACTTCAAGGAAATAATAAATTTAATGGAAATTAAATTAAAAGAAAGTAGAGTTGATTTGGTCTAAATCCTCAAACAGTTTTACCTTTCATGCCTTAGTTTGAGTACGGAACTTCGGGTAAAGTACAGACTCCTTGGATTACTTAAGGGATGAATGGCAAAATTATATTACGAGGACAAGGTTTAGTGTTTGAGTATGAGAGAGAAATGAGAAAGAAATAGTGTGTCTGTTGGTGTCCCGATACTCGTAAATGAGCTTCGTATTTATAGATAGAAAATGAGGAATGAGGTTGGGAACCCTAGTAATAAGGCGCCGCACAAAGGAAAAGGTAACGCAACACGACACGAGTACCATGTAAAGGCACTGGTACCGTAGCACGGTACATGTGACATGGCGCGACACCAAATATTATCATTTTAGAAGAAGAAAACACGTAAAAAGATAAAAACCGGGGAATGCAAGTACCGTGTCATTGTACAGGTGCCGTAACGCGACACTCCCTTTTTTTTTGGAAATTTCTGTTTATTCATTTTTATCTGATTTTTTCATAAAACATGTGATAATTAGGCGCCGTTTCTGTCATTCTGGCCTCATTTTAGGTTTAGGGTTTCTTGATTTAATTAATTGGGCTCAATTAATAATTAAGGAAATGGATTAAAAAGGGTTTGGGCTACCTTAATTTATAAAACCTAACACTAAACAAGAGTCCAGTGGCAAGTCAAGGCTCGATCCACGGAGAACGGCTAATCACCACCAACATTACCAACAACCAATGCAGCTAGGCTGACAAGGGTTAAGAAACGACAACTAACACTACAAGGCTAGACTAGACTAAGACAAAAGCTAAAATGCCAAGGAGATGGGTAGGTATAAGCTTCACTTAAACATGCATAGGAATAGAATCGGAATGATAACAAACTAAGTATATTTGAATGATGAATTAAGGTCCAATCTAATCACCTATCGGGATCAAAAGGTTTCTCCTAACATAGAAACTATGCTATCGTACTAGAATCATATATAAGGAGGTACAATTAGCACAATTTGACAATAATGAATCCAGCAAGGTCCGCTATCGCACCATCAAGCATCGACTCATCTTCAATTCACAAACAACATGCATTATGCAAGAAAATTGAATTACGTCAAGCATACAAAAACTTTAATTATGATCTAATCAAGTTCTATAGCTAAAACATGCTCAAGCTTCAATTATACCATCCCCACACCCTTAGCAAAAGAAACTACTCACTAATCATGGCAATCAACAAGCTAATCAACAAATTCACAAGTAAAAGCATGATTAACAAGTAATTAGCAAAGCAAAATCAAAATAAAGCAATAAAGATAGAGAAGATAAGGTAAGAAATTCTCATTGATTGATGTTTGAAGCCTCTAATACAATTGTCACTCTTGCATCTTCATCATCTTCAATCTCTCATTGAACATTCCTCACTTTCTCTCTCTAAACTACCCTAATCCTAAGCTAAACCTAGAGAGAGAAGCTCTCCTAAAACCTAGAATTAAAAACTGGAAAAAGACCCCTAAAATGGGAGGCTTGGCCCCTTTTTATGGCTTTTTGAAAAGAAGAACGAAAATCGAATAAAACAAGCCGAAATTGCCCAGCGCCGTGTCCGCGCAACAGGGCTGCGCGCTCGCGCCAGGTAGTGCCGCGCCCGCCCCGATCTGGGTCAAAATTCTGGGTGCCACGAAACCCTGATCAGCGCGCTTACTCCGACAAGCTACGCGCCCGTGTCGTCCCCGCTCCGAGCCTGCGCCACCAACTCTGCCTCTCTGCTGACCAATGCTGCGCGCCTGCGCCACCTAACGCCGCGCGCGTGTTAACTTTTGGCCTCGTTTCTGCCGTGTCTATGCGCCCCATGCCTAAGTTGTGTGCGCCCTCTCCTTGCTCGCCTCTTGTTTTCTCTTATCTTTAAGCTTCCTAATCAAGGGCTTGGACTAGCCTCGACCTACAAACATCGAAGGAGCTTCTAATCACTTATAACAAGAGACAAAGAAGAGGATAAATGAAGATCAAAGGGAGTGGCACGCAAATCAAGCAAAACCAAGCCAAAACACGCATTAAAGGTAAAACACGCAACCTAAGAAATTATTGACCAAAACACATAAAAACATGCTACAACACATCTAAAACTAGGAAAGATACCTAGCGTAATAGTGCCATAAATGTCACTCATCAAAAGATTACCATGGGATTGGAGATCTCAACTCTATAAATACCCAAACTTGTTTTGGGGATTGATACAAGAGTTGGACTCTAAGGGATCTCCGCCTAAATGTGAGAATACCTTTGAGTACGTAATTCTCTTTAGTCGTGTTGTGATTTTGTCTAAGCTACGAAATCACGACCAAGGTTTAGGCGCGTGGGTGTACTACGTAGGAGGAGTTCACGCTTGCGGTTCTAAGCTTTCAACGGCTAAGGCGTTCAACGATCATATTCGAGTAGCGGAGAAGTAAGCATTGAGGGTATAACTTCTTATTCTTTTATGTGTTTATTTGTTTATGTTTTGTATGCTATTTAGTTGTATTAATTTTGCATGAGTCCGGGGCGGGGTTTGGTTTCCGCACGGTGTTTGGGACACCGTAAAACCTAACAGAAATGTTTTGGAATGATGTTCAAATAGATAATGAAACTGATGCTGGTTAGGGCTAGGAGGGTATGTAGGGGATGATGATGATAAGCCTAATACATAAAAGAAAGGCAAAGCTAAAAAATTACCTACCAAAATTACATGTCAAGAGAAACCTCAGTGTGATTAATGAAAAAGAAACCACTGTCCAAACACAATCCTTTTCCAGTGCACCTTTAGCATCACCACACTCATCAGCTCCCTCACATGTCTCTAACACTTTAAATAACTCAGCTATAGTTTTGCACAAAATACCTAAGAGTACAGCTGCTAGGAAGAGGGGCTTATTGAACACTAATTTGCAACCTGCAACTGTGGTAGTGACTGAGGAGGAGTTTAATGAAGCTGTTTGGGATAGACAGGTCATCTCTAATCAAGAAACAACACCTACCTTTCCAATTAACACCTTAGAGACAGTCAAAAGTAGTAGGCAAGTTGTTAGCATTGGTGGTAATGAACAA